GATATGGGTTTTCTCTCGTTATTCTATAGAAGGATGTGGACACCAGCTGAACAGTAGCCGCTAAAATAAACAAAAGAAAGGTCCTTACATCGCGCCAAGCTTTGCACCTACTAAATATCTGAACTCTTGATCGTGGATATGTGGCAATCGGAAAAAATGGAAAGACAAAAATAAGTGAAAGCGGCTCACATGTAGCTTAATGGAGTACCACTTGTCTCGTGCTGAATCCGATTCGATTAAAGGTGTTTGGAAGAAGAGGTTTAAAGAGGAAACTTGGTGGTTTCCAAAATAGTCTCTCACTTTGAACCCAAAATGATTAATTGTCTCTTCCTCTTGGTCGTTTTTACCGTCTCTACAACGTATTATGTCTGACAAAACATTTATCACCTTGGAAGTGTCTTCTATCATTAAGAAGTATATTTCGAGTAGGCTCTCGTATCAGGTAGGTTTGTCATCTCGGCGATTCATAGCTCGATTCCGCCTGAACATCGACTGCTCATACGTAAGTTCTTTGACAAACTATTTGGATGTGACACCGCTTGCTTCTTCGGGAGCAATCTGTGTTATCGATCCTTATGTAGCCGGTTCGTCTACTTTACAGCTTTCTTGCGTGAAAGAAAGAAGACTTTATTCTGCTATTATTGACAAAGTCAGTCGGTGGGATGTGAGGCCATTATGATGATAGTTTAAAACAAAAAATAAAAGGATGATGATATGTGAATAAATTGCTAAAGCCTTTAGTGTTAAGTCAGTAGATGAGTCGGGCATAAAATGTTCTCTTTCCTCCGCTGGAAACTACATCGAAAAATTTCAAACCTGGAGTAATCTTATGCATCCGATCTATGGCCTAAGAAATTTATTTGCGCTTAAAACTGACTTCATTAAAATATTTAATAAAAAGTCTGGGCTCAACTTTTTCGAGTCTCGCAATGAGACTTGCTTGGCAACTGCCGTTTACCCAAAAAGAAGGAATTTCTCTTGATTTTCCGTTTCCACAAATCATTACTCAAGCATCATTTTATGATATGCTCAACGTAGGTATTTATATATGTACATATGTATGCACATGTGCATATAATTGTTTACCATTTTCATCATGCCTTAATACCCCACAGCCGCAGGAGCCACAAAACAGGCCAAAGTTCGAATGCAGTGAGTTGGAAATGTGATTCCATTCACATTACCACAGACATTCAGGTAATTTCGTGACATTTCCTTGGCACTTGCCTATTAAAAGACGAAACGAGCAGGCGAAACAACCAGGCGAAGCAACCAGCCAACCCACAAGCAAACCGCATAGTCAAGCTGCAAGCAAACCTAAAATGACAAAGCGAGTAGAAACAAACAAAACAATCTCAGCTGAATAATCACTAACACACACCCATTTGTATTGTACACTTACTGAGGTGAGCATATAGGTGTGTATGTTTGTGTGTGTATGTAAGTTTGTTTATTTAAGAATTGCAGTGAAAACAATGAAAACAGTTATTTTGCTCATGAATTTTACGAGTGGATATAACGAAGTTGTAAACACAGTTTATGTGAGGCAACCTCAATGAGTTTTCGCGGACATACACCCACACACAAACACACATAACCACTGATATACACCTATAAATTTTTACACACACACAACTATGTATTCAGTCTCTCGTGAGGTAGATTAGTATGTTCAAGTACGTGTAGAAAAGCATTGCAATTGCAGTGAGTATTGCATATGCTCATTCGACGCCTGAAAGTAGGCTTTGTGGCTTTGCAGTACACAATTCCACGGCGGAGTTATTTGTGCTCGGAATGTAGGGTGGGCCTTATTGGTGTACAGTAAAATCTGTAAGCCGTTTATGGTCTATAATGAGATTATTTTATGGTCATGATTAATGAAAAATCATTTTCCTTTTAAAAATAAATCTAAGGAAAAAGTAAGGGAAAACACAAATCTCAGCTTAACTATTTTTTTTTTTAATAAATATAGCTATAAAAAATTGTAGTTAAAAACATTTTGCAGAGAATTTTAATCTCTTAACTCTCTCCTAACATATTATTTTGAACCGAAAAATATTTGATTTATTTTACAGATGAAATGTTAAGAATGCAAATATTTTAAGATCTGACTGTATGGAGTAAGAGAAAAGATTAATTGGGAGTACAAATTTATTCGGGCTTTTTTACGTTCACAAAATAATTTTTTTCTTTGAAAAAAACACTCTTTCCCATCTCCCTTATGATTTTTGGAAACAATCTCTAAAAAACGAGCCCTTTGTGTTCTTGATTTAATCATTAATAAATTCTTCGATTTTCACAAAAAGCATAAACCGCTGACTCTCAAATCGTTTTGCAGAGGTCAAAAAAAGTAGTAGTCGGAAGGTCTAGGGCTGAAGAATACGGTGGGTGGGATAAGACCGCCCATTCCAGCGTCTCCAGGTAGTTTTCTAGTTTTCGACCGGCACTTCCACGTGTAACCGAGAGTGTGTCATGTTGCAAAATCCCTTTGTCTCGTCTTTCGTTCATTTCTGGCCCTTTTTCACGCTCAAAGCATCAGCTGTAATCGATAACGTTTTGCAACAATAGACTCTTTTCCTGGTTTCAGCAGCATTCTTCATCTTAAAACTTGTACGGTTGGTCGGTTGGTGGTTCATATATTTGATGTTATCCAAAAATTTCCCATTGGTCAGGCAAATAATTCCGGAAATATTAGCGTATAAGTATTTGTAATTTTTTTTCGAAAAAGGGGTTTCAAAGCTGGTGGGGGAAATTTCTCCGAGGCCAATTGGCTTTCGCCAAACTCAGATTTTTGTCACTTCACTCACTTCAAAGCCGCAATTGCCATCCTTTTGTGGGTGTCTTCATTTTGAGAACTGTTATAAGTGTTACTGTCTGAAAAATATACACAAATGAGCAAAAAGAAATGATCATTTTTGTCTCAGACCACATGGCCTAGCCAGCGCAGCCGCTGTTTCTTGATTCGCTGAACTATGTCAATGTCGTCGTAGATCTCATAAAGCTGCGGTGGTTGCTGTTCCCAATTCGTAGAGCTCCATAAAACTTACGCAAAAGCTTTCTCTCGAAAACTCGTACCGACGACTTATCAGCTGTTGTAATCGTCTATGCCTCCGCTCCTTATAACAGGACGGCAACGATGAACGACTTCTATAGTTTGTTTTTCGTTCATCAATTGCCTACTCAGTCCAAAGTAGCACCTCTTGGCAAGAGTGATTGTGCGTTGGATTTCTAGGTTGACATTGTTGTTGGTGTCAATACTGGTTCCAAGTTGGTTGAAGTAATCTACGACTGCAAAAACTGTGACTATCAACAGTAACGTGTTAGCCAGCTCCTTTTCATGCTGTCCAAAGCGTCAATATTTGATTTACGGGTACTTTCACGGGTCTCTTCCAAGATTATCCACATGCTGACTGTCTGTTTATTGATGGATTTATCAAGTCTAAAACCACACTTATAAAATCCAATTACTTTTCTAACGGTGGACTTTGATTTTCACACACTTAATTTAGGCTTATTAAGTAGACTTATCCCACGGTAATTGGCACAGACTGTGGGTTCGCCTTTTTCTGGATTGGACAGAGCACACTTGGGTTGCAATCGTCGGGAATGCCTTCATTCGACCATATTTTGCTCATCAGTTATTCACCAACGTATTTGAATAGCTAGGCCGTTAATCCATCGTCCCCCCTCGCATTGCTGTTTTTCAAGCGTGCGATTGTCATTCGGAACTTCAACGGGTGGGAAACCAGTTTCGCCATTTTTTGGTGATACAATTTTTCCTGCCATTCAGCAGGCTGAAGAAGTGTTCCATTCAAGGGTATCAGTCACCCAGAACTCTACACACGAGTGTGCTTTGGTCTGGACACCTTCTGAAAGTTGCTTGAAAGAGTGAGGTTCGCTGTTCTGTCCGCTAGCGGTCGCACCTGAGCTAATGAGTAAGTTCATTGTGCTGCCTCGTGTAATAAACCTTCTTTGAGGCGCCGTACAGGCTAGTAGAATTTTGCTATTTTATTGATTTTTCAAAATATGATAACTTTGTGTTCATAACCTTGTTGACAACTCATCTATATCTCAAGTAAGGGGCTGCGTACTTATTGACAAACAACTCGGAGGCCAATTTTCTCTTGAGGCCAACTTCTCACCATTAAGTGCGTTCGCCATGGACATGAAAAGACGGTAATCACTTGGTGCCTGGTCCAGAGTATAGGGTGAGTGCATTAGGACCTCCCATCCGAGGTCCTGGAGCTTATGATGTGTCATCAAAGACGTATGTGGCCTTGCGTTGTCCTGATGGAACACAATTCGGCTTCTGTTGATCCAAGATGACCTCATCTGAATGAGTGCTGCCTTCAAGCGGCCCATTTGTTGGCAGTAGAGGGCCGAATTGGCAAAGACAAACTTTTAGCGCGAATAAACATTTTTTCAGTGCCGTATAGTGTAACATGATGCGACACGTAACACTAGTGCTATGGACAATAAAGCCACCTCTTAGGTAATAACCGAATGAACTTTTTACTCAATAAATCTCTTCTCCAGATGTATAATTTTGGCTTTTACTGTCGAAATTTTATTTTCTGAATTTCTAGCTAATTTTTGCATTTCATTCCAAAATCCTTGCGAGTAACGCTCGATGACGCCGAAAAGAAAATGTTGCACACAGTTACATATTTAGTTTTCTTTATTTATATTTGTCTTTCTCTCTTACAAAATTTTCAATTTAACTTCACACATTACATATATTCGACAAATAATAATAGTACATTAAAATACAAACCTATATTTACTTGTGTGGGCGTGTGTGTGTTTGTCGGTTTTCTTGCTTATATATGTATGTGTGTATGTATAAAGCCGTGAAAGCCTGGATTTTTCTTTGAGTTTTGTGTCTGTATATGTGTGTGTGTGTGTGTGTGCGTGTTTTTAAAATTATAACTTTTCTCAAATATTTATTTTTTTCTTTTAATTTGAAAAATTTTTATTTCTTTTTCTTTCGTTTTTCTCTTTTACATTTACAGTTATATTTTTATGTAAACATGTATGTGTGTATGTAATTATAAATGCTTATACAATATAAAAGGTACACACTTAAAATACGCGTACATCGTTATTTTATATATGTACATGCATACATGTTCATATGTATACATACCTGTTTGCACGCACATGCATGTGATCGTAAGTACTTCATACAACACTCGCTGTGGCGTATAGAATTGGGGGCATATTTTTCCACTCGTAATTAATTAGTTCACATACGAGCCGTACATAACATACATATTTATGTATGTATTCATAAAAAAAATATATTTTAAATATTTATTAATAAAAAAAATCGACTGTGGCCGAAAACAAGCCAAAAGAATTTTTATCTTTTCTAACGAGTATTTTTTCATCATTCGCTTCTACTTCAAACTACAAATAACAAATAGTAAAATTATCAAATGTTATATTAAATTTTTTTCATTATGTTTTCCCTCTTTATAAAAAATCGATTCGGGCGGCGTGGCGTTGTGCGGCATATGGGCTCAGGCAACAGTTCAGTGGTAGCAAAAAGTTTCAGCGCCTTTTCTCCACCTTTATCAATCTTTGCTGCTTTTAGGCGCTGCTTTTTACGCGCACTCGCATACCAATACACTCACACTTACGCACGCACACCGGAATTTCATTCATCACACAGACGCTCAATAAATTTACAGTATTGTGCCGGGTTTGCGCAGCGGCAGGCGCCTTCTTTGCGTGAGTAGTCCAAGACCGCGGGCTTGTTGTTTTGTTGTCGTTTCGGCGGTGTCACTCGCCTCGGCATCCTTGGCACTATCATCGGTGGCAGGCGCATCAGCTGAGGCAGCAGCGGCTGGTACACTCTCCTCTTCTGTTTTTGTTTCTTCGGCGGCGGTGGCATTGTCCTCCTCGGCGGGCGCTTCTGTAAGAGGAGGAGAGTGAAAGAGCGTAAGAGATAGAGTGAGTGAGCAAAAAAAAGAGTGAGATAAAGAGTGGGTGATCGAGAGGGAGAGAGAGAGAGAGAAAGAGAGAGAAAGAGAGAGAGAGAAAAGGAGAGAAAAGGAGAGAAAAGGAGAGAAAATAAGTGAGATAGAGAGCCAGAGAGATTGAATTTCCGTTAAAAATTAGAAATCGTTGAAAATATCAATAAAAAGCCTCAAAAGAAAAATCTAATGTATAAGTGATAGTCCTCAAAATCTGCCAACAACTTTTTATTAGTTACAGTGGAAAACTTCCTTACTTTAAGACAGCCAATAAGAAACTCCTTCCTCCAGAACTCTATTAAATTATAATTTATATGGACTCTGACTATATCTGATGAGAGATCAGAGATATAGTGAGCCACAGGGAATAGTCTGGAGAATGATTCGAGAAGAGGAGGCGAAGGAGAAGCATCTTTAAGCTCTTGCAGACTGATCTTGAGAAGGCAGAAGCAGCTGATATGCAGATAGAAACCAAGGCAAATAATTTCCTTAACAACGTTTTAAAGGAACTGGGCTGACGAGCCCAGTTGAGTAAGCTCAATTAATATCAATATATATCTATCTCCAGGCAGTGAACCTGAGAGACTTTGAGAAATTTTTTGATTGGTAACATCTATGCCATTGCGAACGCTCTCAGTCTCAGCAAGAGCTGTCATAGTCTGAGACACTCTAAAATAGTATCAAGCCTTCCGAGTGTGTTTCTGACAATAAAACCTAATCATAAAAATCCATCGGTCTTTCGGAGTTGGCCTAGATTAAACTGTAGGTCGCTCCTTTTGTTGGGAAAACATCAAGACAAAACATCAAACTCACCCGTTGTGGAGTGTCCGAGCTGCAGACGACGCTTAGCCAACAGTGGATTGATTTTACGTGGCGCCACTGACGCTGGTGCCGCCTTGGATTTGGCGTTCTCAGTCTTATGCAATTGTGGACGCGTCTTCAGACGATTCAGTCCATGGTGACCTGCGGGCTTAGCTTCCGTCTCGGCCGCCTTTTCAGCGTGCTCCTCTCCATTTTCTTCACCTTTAACATCATTGTGATGACTGCTGTCCGCAGCTGAATCATCAGCTGATGGCGCTTCAGTGGTGCGCGCCAATTTACCGCGCGGCAACAAGCGATTAGCACTAGGACGGGCGAAACGTGAGGCAGGTTTCGCTGGTGCTGGTGCTGGTTTCTCTTCAGCACCACTGGCAGCCGCTTCGTCTTCTTTGTGCTCATCTTCGGTGGCAGCGGGTTTGGCAGTTGTTGTGCGGCTGCGACCACGTAGGCCTATTTGTGGACGTCCGCCACGAAGTGCACGTGCGGTTGTGCTTGATACGGTTGCTTCCTCGTTAGCTTCCTCTCCATCAGCGGCAGCGGCGGCGGGTTTTTCGGTGGTAGTCGTGCTGCGTAAGTTGAAACGATTGCGTGCTAGAAGGGGTAGAAGAGCAAAGTAGTGGTAGTTGGGACAGTGAGTACTTGTATAGTTACTTACGTCTGCCACGTCCGAAACCGCTGCTCACTGGTTTCACTTCCTTGGGAGCGGCCACTTCCTCCTCTTCTTCGCCAGCTGCTGCAGGGGCTGCAGTGGTGGTGCGTGCGCCTGGACGTGCGCGTCCGCCAATCGATGGACGTGAGAAACGATCTGCAAAATGTTAAAGATATGTGCTCTTAAGCTAGTTCTCTTTGTCTCTCTCTGCCATAGGTGCAGTACTTACTTTTGCCTGTTTTCGGTGCTTCCGATGGTGGCGCCTCTGTTGTGGTCGTTGTGCTCGCCTCACTCTTGCCGCCCTTATTCAACTTGAAACGATTACGTCCGGCCGAATTCAAGCCCGGACGTTTGCCACCAAACAATGTTGGTGCGGCTGTGGTTGTAGTTGTTGTTGTGGTGGTTGTCGCCTCTGTGGTTGTGGTAGTTGTAGTAGTCGTGGTTGAGCTGGGCTCCTCATCAATAAGTGTAGTCATAGCGACATCATCGGGATTGGTGGTGTCTGGCAATACGGTGGTGACCTCGGTATCGGCATCAGTTGTCATATCCATATTAAAGTTCTCATTTTGTAGTATGGCATACAGATCGAGAGCGGCTTTCTCCATCGACAGCGTAGTCTGCTCTACCTCTTCATCAGCCACATCTTTAACGGTTGCACTCTCTTCATCACTGCCTATGGTGGGCTGGCGACGTTGTTTCTCCTCAGCCTGCTTCTTCTCAGCTGCAGCGGCAGCGGCTGCTGTCTCTTGTTCAATGGCAATTGCTGATTTTGTTTCGGTATCGCTATTGCGAATGCCCTTCACTTGTTTCTCGTCCGTGTTGAAGGTCGCACTGTCAACCAGCTCCAGACTCGGCCGCTTTACGCTGATCTTTTTCTTTTCGGCAGCATTCTCAAGCGAATCTATAGCAGGTGTTGGCTCAACATTTTTGCCGCGACTGGGAAAACGTGTATTGGCAGGCAAACGTTCGGCCTCCACATCGTCGGCGCCGCTGTCTGACGCAATGCTCGATGAGCGTCCCTTGGCTTTGCTACTGACAATACTATTACTAGCTGGCGCTGCTGTAGTGCGTTCAATATTGCTGTAACGTGACTTGCCGCGTTCACTCGAATCGGCCTTGACTGGCGCTTCTGAAGGTTTGGCATCTTCCTCATCTTCATAATAGTAAACATATTCGTATTCGTAGTCTTGTCCGTTTGGTCCCTTCTTAATTTCAATACGTGACTTTTTATTACTCTCCGAACCGGCCGCATCCAAATTGATAGCCTGATCGACGAAACCAACATTAAAATCTTCATCGAGTTCCGCCTTCTTAATGGGCGCTGCTGTCGTCAATACAGCATAAGTGGCTTCAGCAACGCGTTCGCTATCCTCGCCTTTTTGCTCCTTCTCTTTCTTATTACGCGCTGCATCCAGCTCAGCTTTAATTTGCTCCAACTCCTCCTTTTCAATGGCACGTTTCGCTTCGATGCTCTTCATTACATCCTCATTGATGAGTGCACTCAAAACGGGATTCAGCTCGGGGCGCTCCTTTGTCGGCAATAAATTCATGGTGCCCTGCAGTAAATCCAACTCGGAGTCGGGTAAGAATGAGTGTCTGGGAATTTTATGTGATGTCTGGAATTCGCTGGCTTCTTCAGGTCGCTTGTGTGCAGTCTCGAACAGCAACTCACCATTGGGATCGGCCGGCAGTTGTTCGATGGTGTTCTGCGCTTGGGCCAGTAGCGCCAGACAGCATACCAATTGACTGCAAGGACAAACGAAAGAAGGAAATGTAATGAAATGTGTAATTAAATGCATCAGTTTGTGTTCGGGGACCATAAGTATCGAGTATGTATGTATGTAATAGGCGTGTATGGCATGATATTTGCATAATCGTGTAGAAGGACGTATAAATTAGTTGCAAGTCAACGAAGTCAACATTAAATGCTGGTGTATATAGGTATGCATGTACGCATGGCATGTGATGTGCCAATTGGTTAACCGGTTCTGTTCATACGACTTGCGGTCATGTGTAGAAGACGTTCGTTCATTTTGCGCAGAGCACAGACCAGAGATTGTAGTTGTTGTTGGTAAGTTTAGCCAAAGAATGCTACGGCGGCAATCGCGCCTGTCGCATGTCGCTTGACCGGTTGCTATTTCATTATCTTTCATAATACCTCTGCATAAGCGCTAAAGTTATTAACGACCGAAAGTGAAGGTGTACCAGCTCAACCCAGTGGAAGTTTTGGTAGATTATTTCGCAAGAGATTCTTCTCTTCCTATCCACGAGAGGATCAAAGAATTTTGGACAGTTTTTAAGGATTAGTCTACGTACCGGTTTCTTTCGGTGCTACGGGTGATTTGAGCTTGGCCGTATTCAATGAGTTTTGACCGCAGCTGCTGGAAAATGTTGTACAAAATTCGGCAATAACTTATCTTCCAGGCAGATAGTGGATCAATTTGAGCAGTAAACTTAAGTTGTTGTTGTTGTGACCGCAATAATAATCCCCAAAGCAGCTCTTGGGGAATGTTACGGAAGTGACAGTCCTTGGCCGTATAAAAATTCTCCTTCTTCTACCCATAAAGACTCGACGGTCGCGGGAGCTATTGGCTTTTAGTGCCCTCTTACGAAACTTATGCCGTGGGTGAATTATTGAGCCTCTAACCCGCAGGGGTAGCAGCGAGCTGGTAAAACCGGTAGGTCATCGGAAAGCACGAAAATCTTGAACGGCCGTCAACGTTAATTCAACACTGATCGGAAGTTTTTCACAAAGAGCTCGATATAAAGGCCTATTGAGTCCGATTAGTTCAAGAACTGAAGCCTCACTACCAACCGGTGCGTTTTCGCTTTGTTCAATGAGCTGAAGATCGGCTGTCCAAGAGATGAACTTAAAAGAGAGTCCATGAATATGCAGCTAAAGCAATAACGATTTCAGAAAGAAAAAGATTTCTGAAGACCTTTTATTTTAACTGACTTAAAGTCGACCAAACGATTTGTTCAACGCCGAAAATCTGCAAAAGATATAATTCAGAGTTAAGCTGGAGAAAACCAATCCTCGAGATTCTGACCTTGGACCTAGGAATACACATCACAAAAAGAGCTGCCTCTTCGCCGCTTTGTCTGAATTCGGCATTCCCGCAAAACTTATCAACTGTGTAAACTGGCCTTAATCAGAAACGGAAAAGATCTATCCGAGCCGATCGATACGAAACGTGGTATCAGACAAGGATAAGAAGTCTAACGTATTCTTTCTTTAATCTACTGCTTGAGAATTTATTAGGAGCTAAAGAGCTAAGAAGATAAGGTATGAGCTTCTACTATCTAGCTTTTACTAGTCAGGATATATTGATATCATAGACCTCAACAACCGCGAAGCGATTGAGTCTGGTAGTGAACGATAGCAAGACGAAAGATCTTCTGTCATCACCCAAACAGTCATCGCATTCGCGACTTGACTCCCACGTCACTGTTGACAGTCATAACTTTGAGGTCATAGATTACTTCGTCTTTTCGGGAACCATCATCAACTGCTGCTCTGGACAGCAGGCAATTGAAAAATAATTTGCTCTCTCGACGAAGGAAGACCAAACTCTACCTGTCGTTCGTAACTTCTCTCCTCCCATGAGGTACGGAGGCATGGATGGACGATGACAACAGCGGATGAGTCGTCGGTAGGAGTTTTCGAGTGAAAGGTTTTGCGTTAGATTTATGGTCGTCTGCGCGTTGGCAACGACGAATGTCGCAGCCAATGGAATGATGAGCTGTACGAGATATACGACGACATAGAATAGTTCAGCGAATCAAGAAGCAGCGGCTGCGCTTGCTAGGTTATGTCGCACGGATGGATAAGAAAAATCCAGCTTTGAGAGTTTTCGATGCAGTACTCGCCGGTGGAAGCAGAGGAAGCGAAAGACATTTACTCCATAGGAAAATCAGTTGCAGAAGAGCTTGGCTGTCCTAAGCATTTTGGTATTTCCAATTACCGTCAAATAGCGAAAGGAAGGACGGAACGGCACGCTGTTACTTACTCATCTTTGAGTGAGTGCCTACGTCGAGTGTAAAGAAGCAGAAGAATAAGAAGAAGAATATAATTATCATTATCAGAACTGGATACAAGAAAGTGTCTGTGTGTTTTCTAAAGCGGCTCAATTTTCATTTCTTGGCGGTTGCGATAACCAAGTGGTTATCATTTCATAATACCATTCTGAGAGCCAGTGATCCAGCTCTTGTTATACCAATGAACATAAATCGGTTCCCTCATTTGTACATTAGTAGTAAACACGGAAGACGCCTAAGTGATATATTACGAGACCTCGTTTTGAAAAAAGTTATTCTCACTAATGCGGTTTAGTGTTTTTCATTTCTTTTCATAAAATTTAACTCCATACCATTTACAGATGTTCTCATATACATATATATCGAAGTATGTATGTACGAATAACGAATATATTAATTGCTTTTGATTTGCAGCTCTACAACAACAGCAACAACACTGTAACGGCCATCTAGCGGTAAGTACCAGTCAACAACGGTACGATGCGCATGCGCATGCGCAAACTACTTGTGATAGAGAAAACACAATCGAACAAAGGTACTTACATACGTATATGCTTACAAACACTTATATATATGTATGTGTGCATGTAGATGAATGTATGCATAGTTTGAAAATGTTATTGCAATTTTTTGCAAATGCACTGCTTAGTTCAATGAGCGACGGATGCTACGCCAAGCCCAAATATCTATAACAGACAAACGTTACAACTGACGGCCAGACGGGCATTCAAACACACATATGTACATACCTACAGACAGTTAGTTAGACGCATGCCTGAGTTACAAGATTATCATAATGCAAATGGTATAATGCGCCAATAAGGCGAACACCCATACGAATCACTGAGGTCGCATGCTTCGCTGGCTGGCTGGCTGACTGATGCGATATACCGCTGAAAATCAGCAAAGCAAATCACAAGAAACATTAATGATATATCAATTGTTTTAGCTCCATTTGTGTGTATTCGTGCGTGTGTGTGCGCATGATTTGTTTTTGCTATCGGTGCTTCGGCTGCTCATTGAAATACCAAAGGTATGCCGTTGATGGCAACAAAGCAAAGCTCAAGGCAAACTGCCAAGATGCTCAAGCGGTTCGCCAAGCCAAGTCAGCATATGTGCATTTATTTCGTATTTCGTATTTTTTGCGACATTTACACAAACACATACACACATATATACGTATGCATACACTAGATTTCAATTTTTGTTCTTTTTTTTTTTGGTTTTTTTTTTGTTTTTTGACTGTAGGTACTACTTAATGGCTGCATGAATATATATATGCACATACAAATGTATATATGTATATAAGTATACAAGTATAGACCAGTTTGTGCATATAGTCGACAAACCGCTGCGGCAGCAACAACAGCGAAAGTAATGCTAAAAAGTGAATTGAGTAAAATAGACCGGGAACTTGTTTCCAATACTCCATTTTTCTCATTACGCGACCAAAGACGGTTGACAGCCAACAGGCATTACTAGCAATCTATTTTCAATATTGCTGCGGTACAAATACAATTTATATATATATATATATACACACATACACATATAAATATATATAAACTCATGCACTCCCCCATCTGCGCTACTGCCGCGTCCACCAACACACACAGCAGCAATAAAATGGTAAACCGGTTCACCGTTCGTCTTGGTTGTCATCGATTGCTGTCGCTGCTGCTGTGGCTGTTGCTGACTGCTACTATACGCGGATACGAGTACGCGCGCTGTGGCAGCTACAGCAGTTATAGCAATCGTTGCACAGTTAACATTTCGCTGGAGTAATATTGATTTGATATTGAATAATTTTGTGCTTGAATCTCATAGTTTCAAGTTTCAGTTTCATTTCATGTCAGAAATATCCTCGAAGATCTTGTCAATCCCTGCCGAGCGGTGACCGCAGTAGAAAATTTAACTTCATTTTTTATTTTAAATTAATTTACTATAACTTTTTGGATGTTAGTACGACACCATGATTTGAATTCGAGCCTTACGACCGCCAAAAAAGCTTAGGTTTTCGTTAAAATGGCCGCTGTGTATCGGCTTAGTTAAGCCACCGAACGAGTCCATTGTGATACCCCGGTGGGTCCTTTAGACTTTCACTCGTCACTCAAATCAATGTGTGACGCAACTTTGGTGCCTTTGCTATCTCTATCAAGGCTCTGCATGTTGCTCCCTCTGGAGTCTTTAATGTAATCCCACAAAGTGCGGTTCATTAAGGTTGCAGGTTCCTTCTCTTGTCTGCAACTTCTGCAAAAGTCATTAAGTGGTCTGCGTACCCTCTGCATGCCTTTCCAATAGGAAGATGCTTAGTAAGAATAAAGTGGAGATTTTAAATCTTGATAATGCAAATTCCAAATGAGATACCCACAGAGAAAAGGATTAAGTGGTAAAGTGTGTTTTTTCTGGGTGGGTCTTTTTGGCAGCTGTTCCTTGATTTTTTCTCTTATACTCCGTTTATTTTACCATTTCATAACGAAACGACTTACTCCGGAACAACGTTTGAAAATCATGCTCCGCGTTCAATATTCGGTCGACATAATCGCCCAGCCGGGTCGATAATTCGAACAACCATGGATCGATTTTGCACTACGCCTACTCTAACGGATCAGGCGCATCCGAAGATCCGATCCGCCATCGCGCGTAATAAAATAGGAACCACGTTAGGGAAGATATTGCGGAAGGATCTTAGTTTTCAGGCTTGCAAA